ATCTTCATAAAATTTAGTATACAGGGGATTTCGGGGGCGATCTAGCTACTATTTATTTTCAGAAAATATTGTTTTATTCGTGTTTCAATAATCAACTCTTCCCGACATCTATTGGCGAATAATAATACTATTTTTCTTAATTGAGGGCAACTAACCGCTTTAAAGACACAACAAGATGGCGTTATCAAAAAAAAACCGAGCATCGTCGGTCATCGTCTAGTTTACCTTAAGCGCTCTTCTCAACTGAAGACACGCTGTGAATACATACCGTTGAATTATGAGTACGAACGCATCTAACGACGACCCATCAATCCTGGTGATAGAATACCCGAACGTCGAACCGGGGTATACGGCTGTAAATTAACCCCATTTTTCACTGCACACTGCTGAATATTTATAAAATATCTTTGTAACATTCACCCGACGAAGGTGGTGAAGTAGGCGAGTATAACATTGATATATTTAGGTCGATGGATATTTATGATAACAAGTGGTTCTTTGGTAGTCGAAATTCGACTATAGTTAATTGAAATTATAAGCTTTTTTTTTCAACGCTTATAGTGCTGGACGAGCTCACAGCCCACCTGATGTTAAATTTTGAAGTCGTCGTGGCTTAAAGAATAATACGTCCGATGCATTAGTTTTGAGCGATGCACCGGTGTTCGAATCTCAGGCGGGTACCAATTTATCTAATGAAATACGTATTCAACAAATATTCACGATTGTCTTCCACGGTGAACGAACAACATCGTGTAATAAATAAAACTCGCAAAATTATAATTTGCGTAATTACTGGTGGTAGGACCTCTTGTGAGTCCGCGCGGATAGGTACCACCGCCCTGCTTATTTCTGCCGTGAAGCAGTAATGCGTTTCGGTTTGAAGGGTGGGGCAGCCGTTGTAACTATACTGAGACTTTAGAACTTGTATCTCAAGGTGGGTGGCGCGTCTACGTTGTAGATGTCTATGGGNGATAGGTACCACCGCCCTGCTTATTTCTGCCGTGAAGCAGTAATGCGTTTCGGTTTGAAGGGTGGGGCAGCCGTTGTAACTATACTGAGACTTTAGAACTTGTATCTCAAGGTGGGTGGCGCGTCTACGTTGTAGATGTCTATGGGCTCCAGTAACCACTTAACATCAGGTGGGCTGTGAGCTCGTCCACCCATCTAAGCAATAAAAATAAAAAAATAAAAAAAATGTCTTTCGGCTCCTGTAACTACTTATCACCAAGTGGGCTGTGAGCTCGTCCACCCATCTAAGAAATAAAAAAAAAAAGGTCACGGTCGTGGCTTGAATTCTGTGAAACGGGAACGACGCTCGATAAGCGATACCAAAAACAAACAAACATATAAATGTATGTCTACAGGATTTAGCACATTATGTGTATTATCTAGGACTTTTTTGGCTGGGGGCCGAACCTCCTACGAGGACCCGCGTCCAGGGGGCGCGCGGGGTATGTGGGACTCAAAGATCTGCAAGGTGTTGGTAGCAGACCGCGGGCCCAAGGAATTTTAGTGGGTACTAAACGACTCCCCTGTACTCTTCGCCCAAGCGTCCGATCCCCTCTAAGGTCAGAACTCGGATGAGGTAGAGGGGTTACCGCGGTCAACACTGCAACCAGACAGCGCAGCTCACCCCAAGGACGCCCAGCCGACGGAGCCTTCGAGGCGAATCGAAGGCTCTGAAACGTCGGCCGTCTCGGTACAGCAGCCCGTCAGGCCGCTCAGACGGTGCCACTAGTGTCCCGGAATACCCCACTGGACCAGAACCAGCCTGCCGGGTCGGGACGCGATACACCGCCAACCGGTCGCTCTATTACTCCTTGGCAGCGCGCAAGAGTGCTGGTAGCGCGCCGCGCGGCCTCTACCCCCTCATGTCGCCCTTTGACCTTCACCGGGGGGAAGCCGCCATCTACAGGGGATTATCTATGACTTAGCATGCACTTTTTTCCTACCTAAGCTGATAGCCTTGAGTGGCTATTTCAGCGTAACTTTAACTAGTAGGTGAGCTCACGGGGCTCAAACCGGAGTGATGATAACACTGGTAAGAGTAGTGCTTCGCAGAATCTACCACCAGATCGAAAACGCGACCCACTGAGAAGATCCAGGAGAAACTCAGTGGGCTAAATAGCTTGCGCGAGAGTAAGAGAATACTTCTGAAGGTTCCACTCCTACCACGTGTGAATTTGACTTATGATTTTTTCTTAATTTTTTGTTATTAAACGTAAAAATAATATTGTTGGTCTCTTCTATTAAAATCAGTCCAATTTTGGAGAGTTTAAAATGTAATGTCGATTTAGATTTTCTTATAGAAGTATTTTTAACCCACGAAGCAGTATGCATCTTGCTAAGATGGATGGACGAGGTGAGGGGCCACCTCGTGTTAAGTGGGCACCAGAGCCCATAGACATGTACAACGTAAATGCCGCCACCCTCCTTGAAACGTGAGTTTTAAGTCTCAGTTTTCAGTAAAACGGATATCGAACCCTTCAAACCGAAACGCATATTGCTTCACCGCAGAAATAGGCAGGGTGGGGTGGCACCTATCCTGCGGACTCAGAAGAGCTGTTCAGAGCGGCTTATGGGAATGGATGACCATTTATATTTTATCTTGTGTTTCCTCTGAAATTGTATGTAAAAAGGTGGCTATATTTTATGTGCGTTAACGGAATTTCAATAGCTCATTGCAGAGTGTAAATCACAAAACTACTGACCATTTTAATGTCTCATAATATCTAGACGTGTTTACATAATCATGAGCACAAAAAAAAGCCTTCGAGAAACTTCTTTTCACCGAGAGAATTACAAGAAATCCAACAATGCAAAGTTATTTTCTTTAAGACAGCTATTTCGAGTCAGAAAAAACATAACAGAACCGACTTTTAGGAGGCAGTTTTTTTATTGGGTTGAAAATTAAGCAGTCGTTTCTTGCGTAAACATTGCTAAGAAATTTTTCGACTTTTATTTTATTTTTATAATGGTCCTTTATCTAGATGTTACATCAAGTGGAATGTGAATTTGTGTCTGGTACAGCACGCTGTGGTCTTTCATGAATGTTTGCAACAAACCTTTTTTTTTATTGCTATACTGGGACTTTTAAACTTATATCTCAAGGTGGGTGGCGCATTTACGTTGTAGATTTCTATGGGCTCCAGTAACCACTTAACACCAGGTGTGCTGTGAGCTCGTCCACCCATCTAATGTATACTAAGCTATATAAAAAAAGCCTCGACGGTTGAGGTGTCCAGATGTCGGTAACTCTCCGACACGGGTTGATCCAGGTGTATGACAGCTTTTACATGACAGGAGTGGCAAGAAAATTATAGAATACTTTTTTATTGCCTTTGTAGGCAGACGAGCATACGTCCCACGTGATGGTGAGTGGTTACCGTCGCCCATGGACTTCAGCAATGCGAGGGACAAAGCCAAGCCGCTGCCTACCGCTTAATAATCTCTACAAGCCTCGTTTGAAGAAGGAAGGTCATCATTTTTTATTTTTTTATTGCTTAGATGAGTGAACGAGCTCACAGCCCACCTGGTATTAAGTGGTTACTGGAGCCCATAGACATCTACAATGCGCCACGCACCTTGAGATATAAGTTCTAAGGTCTCAAGTATAGTTACAATGGCTGCCCCACCCTTCAAATCGAAACGCACTACTGCTTCACGGCTAAAATAGGTACCTAGGGAGGTGGTTTTTTTTTTTTTTTTTTATTGCTTAGATGGATGGACTAGCTCACAGCCCACCTGATGTTAAGTGGTTACTGGAGCCCATAGACATCTACAACGTAAATGCGCCACCCACCTCGAGATATAAGTTCTAAGGTCTCAGTATAGTTACGACGGCTACCCCACCCTTCGAACCGAAACGCATTACTGCTTCACGGCAGAAATAGGCGGGGCGGTGGTACCTACCCGTGCGGACTCCCAAGAGGTCCTACCACCAGTGATTACGCAAATTATAATTTTGCGGGTTTGATTTTTATTACACGATGTTATTCCTTCACCGTGGAAGTCAATCGTGAACATTTGTTGAGTACGTATTTCATTAGAAAAATTGGTACCCGCCTGCGGGATTCGAACACCGGTGCATCGCTTCAACNGTCCTACCACCAGTGATTACGCAAATTATAATTTTGCGGGTTTGATTTTTATTACACGATGTTATTCCTTCACCGTGGAAGTCAATCGTGAACATTTGTTGAGTACGTATTTCATTAGAAAAATTGGTACCCGCCTGCGGGATTCGAACACCGGTGCATCGCTTCAACACGAATGCACCGGACGTCTTATCCTTTAGGCCACGACGACGGTTCCTACCCGTGCGGACTCACAAGAGGTCCTACGACCAGTTTGTGTGGTTTGAAATACATTTCGATATCTATAAGTATCTACATAAAGCCGAATACACCGCAAGCATGTTCACGCTTGTCTGGTGTCAAAACATCTACGCCATAAGCAAAAAAGAACTATGTTTTAAATCAAAATAAAATCGGAGTTTTCCTTAAAAATACAACACATTTTTATGCACTACATTAAAAAAATTCTTTCACAATATCCTTTAAACTATAAAAATTTAATTCTCTCATCAACATTTATTTCGCAGGCTCGTAAAAACGGCCCGTAAAATATGTAGTTGTAATAACGAAAATATAAAATTCAGCACACACGAAATGATGTATTTCATTTTGAGTGCACTCCTCCTTAAATTTTATGAAGGTAGTGCTTTTAATCATAGCATCAACTTTAAGGGTGCGGTGAACGAACTTTTATATGCGCTAAACGTTAAAACAGAAGATGAAAGGCTCAATGACCTCAAAGAAAAGATAGACAATATAAACAGTTACGTTATAGATAATGATATAATCGAAGAAATGATTTTAAATGCGACAAAAGAAACGAACTTAAATCAAACTGACTTTTTTAAAGCTTTACAAGAGAAAGAAAAGTTTAATAAAAATAATGATGAAACAAAAAGTTTGTATCTAAAAATTAAGGAGAAGATGAATCGTGATGATGTAATGAAGATATTGGCCGACAGAGGTGATGAGAATGTGATCAAAGCTGCCCGAAGAGCAATGAATCATGATTACAATGATAAGAACGATGAAGAACTTATAGATACGGTTGTCGATAAGATGTTAGCTGAGACGCCGAAAGATAATCACATGCTTCCATATAATGATAGTATTTATTGGGGTAAGTTAATAATACAGTACCTGGCGATAAATACCGCACATCGACCTTTAGAGAGAGACAATAGACTAACTTCGGCTTCGTAGAGCGCTATCTCTGTCACGCGAAACACTAACAACTAAAAGATTCACCGAAAAGTTTCAGCAGGATTCTCTGTATATTATACCAGGGCACTGCAATCACACACCAATATTCACTGGTGGCAGTGTAGGGTGCATTGTGAGTCGTGATCTTGCCGACTGATACCGTGAAGCAGTCATCCGTTTTAGTTTCAAGGGTAGGGTAGGTAATATATTTGGCCCTTGACCCTCATACCTCAATGCAGCGTAGTCTGTGGGATTTGGCTAATACTTTACACCAGACTGGCCGTGAGCTTTCCTCATATAGGTAGCAAAATTTAATATAATCATGATATTGTCCTCTAGACCCAAAAGGCGAATTAAACGACCTAAATACCTACCACCAGCATGATGGCCGGCGAATCTACAAGGGGGAGAGATCCACAGTGCTGTATTATCCGTTCATGGTGTCTATTCATGTGATGGGAAGATTTTGGTGTGGCGGATCAATTTACTGGCACGATTTGGTCCTCACTTCAGCGGCTTGCTTACAGCTGTATGTATTACTTATTGGATTGTTAATATATTTTAACATTTGATTACTATTTATTTAGCGTTGCCATTATGTGCGATTTTTGATTATTCGGTAAAGTGTATGACCGAAAATCTTCATAGGGACAAATAAATTGAGTTGTAAATAGTAATTTCCTGGTTTACTTATAGGACTCACAATAATAGATTCTTCAGAGAGAACCCGAGGATTCTCCAAGTGAGGGTTGGTAGCAATCATAGCAGGATTGGAGGAGAAATGATTGATGCCCTTGAGGTAATAAAGTTTTCCTTTGTTTCCTGTAATGTTCACAGCATATTAAGTCTTTGTCTCTCCAGGGTTATGTTTTACGATATTGTTTATTACTGCGACGGATGAATGACCTCCCCTCCCTTCTCTACTCTGATACGTTTAGCTCTGGTCACCGGAACTCAGAGAAGACGTGAACGCTAATTCTCAGTTTTGGAGCACCATTAAACTAGAACTCGTAGCTGTTCCGGGATCAAAATAAGCCCAGTATTATTAAGCCCAGTAAATTGTTTGTTTGATTGAATAGGTGGACGAGCTCACAGCCCACCTGGTGTTAAGTGGTACTGGAGCTCATAGACATTTACAATGTAAATGTGCCACCCACTTTTGAGATATAAGTTCCAAGGTCTCAAGTATAGTTATAACAGCTGCCCCACCCTTCAAACCGAAACGCTTTATGTACTGCTTCACGGTAGAAATAGGAATAGAAGCCGCTGCTTACCGCTTCAACATAAATACTTATCGTTGATTAACTAAAGATTTAAGACTGCATTATCACATTCAATAGGTTTTCTTCCATCCAACGTACGATCCTAAAACTCTAAGAAACAACATAGCTGTAATCAGACTCCGTCGGCATCTGTACTTCAATTACCACCGGATCCCGAAGATCATCGATATATCTGACAGCCCTAACGCGGTCCCGGATACAGCCGAGATACTGTTACTAGGATGGGGAGTTACTAAGGTAAGTGTTCAATGATATCGCATATACGGTGCTATAAAGTCACTTAAGCAATTTTTATTAACACTGAACTGAGTATGAGAAAATACATTTTTTAATAGTTACTAACTAGCTGACCCGGCAGACTTCGTAGTGCCTCAATCGATAAATAAAAGACCTAAACTTTTGTATAAAATAAACTTAAAACAAACAAAAGGAATCCGTCCGACGGGGGACACTTCGAAGGAAAAACAAAATTGTTATTTTTAATTAATTACGAGCATTTTCATATTTATCTACTTTTTAGACCTTCTCTGGACTTCCACAAATAATTCAAAACCAAAATTAGCCAAATCGGTCCAGCCGTTCTCGAGTTTTAGCGAGACTAACGAACAGCAATTCATTTTTATATATATAAATATTAGCGAGACGAGAGAAATATTTGCTTTTACTGATGGAGTTTAAATATTATCATTTTATTTCTATAGCCTAGCAGAACTATCATCATTATCCTGCCCTTCTCCCAGTTACCAGGAGTCGGCGCAACATGTTTTCTCCTTCCATACTCTTCTATCATATACCATTTCTTCAGCCTAGCAGAACTATATAAGAATTATATACTTAATAAGATGTTAAATTTTCCAACGTTTCTCCTGAAAAATTAACTAAATTTGCATAAGTTACGTTATCGCACCGTATGTGGGATATATTACCGAACACCTTTGTCTGCATAATTCGCGTGACGCGTTAACTTCTAAGCTCGATTTTGTTTCCAACTTTATTTATTTCTTTAATCCCAAAAAAAATCCACAAATTTTTTTACTCCCAAAAATCGTCAGTCCACGATCAACAACCGCGTCACCTGGGTGCTTTCATGACATTAACATTTCATTGATTTACTTAATAGTTTAACAATAAACATTTTTAAGCAACATAATCTTTCAATAACGAACTCACACTGCACCCTACAGTAAGATGACGCGATTTGATCTTCATATTATAGCAGTGCCCGTGTATGAATGTAATGAGAGTGGTTGAAGCAACTTTGATGTCCCACTTGTTTTTGCTGGTCAATTAAGTTTTTTTTATAGCTTAGTTGGGTGGATTAGCTCACAGCCAACCTAGTGTTAAGTGGTTACCAGAGCCCATAGACATCTACAACGTAAATGCGCCATCCACCTTGAGATATAAGTTCCAAGGTCTCAAGTATAGTTACAACGGCTGCCCCTCTCTTCAAACCGAAACGCATTACTGCTTCACGGCAGAAATAGGCAGGACGGTGGTACCTACCTGCGCGGACTCACTAGAGGTACTACCACCAGTAAACAGAAATAGGCAGAGTTAGTTCTTAAATAGTCGCTCTCGATCAGCACTATGTGATATTATGTCCTAAGTACCTAAGCACTGAGACTTGAGTGAGTCAGACCTAAGAGGTGGTACCGCCATCCTGAAGATTTCGTATCTCATAACTCAGGGTAGAATGCTTATGAGCTACTAGGACCGAATAACTCATCCACTAATGCAGTTCAAGAAAGGCTTAAGTATCGTGTTTTAATTTCCAGCGAAAACAAACTCTAAATTAAAGAAATAGTGTACAGCTTATTGAATAGTTACGATATGAACGGTTTTTTGTTTGGATGTTTGTTACTCGATCGCGCAAAAACGGCAGAAAGGATTTTGACGAATGTGCGGACAAATATCACTTAGATTGAAATATAGGATACCTTTTATCATGCTATATGTAATGACCCTTGTATACCTGTTATAATAATACAACAGTATGATCGCTGGTACGTGGTTTTATATTCCAATCGATCAACAAAACATCTTGTTACGGACGTGATGACGTTACGGTCTTCATTCCGAATAGATACGTGTTTCATTCGTTCTACAAAATAAATTGTGAGGCACGTCTAGTTTTTTCTTTTTATATAATACTGGCGGCCCGCTCCGGCTCCACTCGGGTCTTTAATAAAAATTCCAACATTATCTGACGTTTTTTTTTTTTTAATAAAATAACACTTATTACAGCATAACTGTAATAGTTATAGATATGCTGTCGCGACACTTTTTGTAAATAATAATGTGTTCTACCAAGTCGTAGTACATTCTTGTATTCTATCGTGAATAGTTTATCGCAGCGCACGCGATGTAAAGAATATTTTAGGTAATTTTTACGACGTTTTACACCTTGGGTTACATTATTGGAGTTTTAGTAAGGATCCCTAATTTTTTTTCAAAAAAGGATACAGCCTACGTCACTCGAGAATAGTGTAGCTTCCAAACAGTGAAAGAATTTTTCAAATCGGTTCAGTAGTTTCGGAGCCTATTCAATACAAACAAACAAACAAATCTTTCCTCTTTATAATATTAGTATACTTAGTCTGGCCATAAATACTGATACAATTAAAAATAAACAAACTATTACATTTGAATTTGGTATCTGTCATTTTTATATGATAGATATAGGTAGATGTGACTCACTGTGGCTGCGACTTCTTCCGTATGGAATCTAAACAAAATATAAGTAGCCTAAGTTACTCCTCATTACATCAGCTGTTTGCCGGTGAAAGTCCCATCAAAATTGGTCCAGCCATTGCAGAGATTAGCGGGAACAAAATAGACAAAAATTAAAAAAAAGTTATTTTGGTATACATGATTATGTACCGTATATACATTAATATGCATGTAGTAAAAAGCCGTTATTTTAATATTACAAACAGACACTCATTTAATTATTTGTAGATTCGAATTGAGATTATTCCTATTTTTAATTTTGTTTCAATTATTAACTTTTGTTTTATTAGAGTCTGTTTTTTTTTCTCCTACCTATGCTGATAGCCTTGAGAGGCTATTTCAGCTTCACCCTAACATGTAGGTGAACTCACGGGGCTCAAACCGGAAGTGTTGCTAACACTGGCCCTACCAAGAGCAGTGCTTCGCAGAATCTACCACCGGATCGGAAACGCGACCCACTGAGAAGATCCGGCGAGAAATTCAGTCCGTATGAGAAAAACGGACCGACTTATGCAACGCTGCACTATTCTCAACAATCTTCATTAAGCGTGTTTGTGCTTATTTAAATTTCAGATGTCGCAAAAGCTTGATACCAGACCGATATTTTTGCAAAGGAAATTTTTGCCGGTCTACCCGAACACTTTCTGTAAAGAGGTTTACGGCGAGTAAGTAAAGGTGCATTCACATTGCGTCTAAAATATAGAAAAGTTACTGTAAGAATGAAAATTTTTTTTTATTGGTTTATTGGGTGGACGAATTCACAGTCCGCCTTAGATTAAGTCCTTAGACATATCCAACGTCAATGCCACCACCCACCTTGAGACAAAAGTCCTCAAACAACAACGGCTGCCTCACCCTTCAAACCACATTGCTGCTTCACGGCAGAAATAAACAGTGAGGTGGTACCTATCTAAGAATGGGGAAGTCGTTGCATTGTAAACACTGAGACTTAGAAATCACGTCTCAAGGTGGGTGGAGGCATTTACGTGGTCGATGTCCATGGGCCACCGGTGATCACTTAAAACCAGGTGGGCTGTGAGCTCGTTAGCTCATCTTAGCAATAAAAATCACTATTCTATTTCTGTAACCGCGAGCCAGTCAATCAATTATTCAATAACATGGAGGTTTCGTTGCAATATGTTGTGACCACCTCTAACCACTTAACATCAATTGCTCTAGGGTTGAGCTCCTTTCGGAGTTAGCGTTGAACATCTGATCTTCACTGTATCAATAGACAGACCCACTTCCAATCATCAATTCAAAATGTTCCTAAATATTTTAGTTCTGCCTGTGAAAGCGCCCTAACGTAAGGGCTTATTGCAGACACATTTATCCAATGTTTGCACGGAAAATTCTTGGGGACTACATACTTTATTGAATTAGGGTTTTTGTTTTGGAAGAATGCCTTGTAAGCAAGGGCTGTTGATACAGATCGTATTGCGTTCGGTGGCGGTAAATATCAAAAGTATGCAAACATGGACTCTTTTTGTATATTTACCATTTTTTACATGCGAAAATATGTATCATTCACGATCAGAAGATCATTTCTGGTAGTAAGGTACCTTGTGTTCTTTAACGTTGGACATTTCATGAATATTTTTGGAACGAAGTTCCTTATGGTCAATGCGGAGGGGTAACCTATCCGGGAAAATAACGTCCGTAACGTAAGATATTTATTAGTAATGCACAGTGTACGACTTAACTTAGTAATGACGTACAAAAAATAACATATTTTTTCATCATTCATAGACCACGATCTCAGAGCGTTCGTTTGCACAATACACTAACTCTTATGCAAACAACCTTGAATGAAGTTGGGTAGTACCACAATAAGTTCGCACGTTACCGAATGACCGTGGGTTGTTGCGAAACCTCCAGTTTTATTTTGTTTGTACCTCGAATAGAACTTAAAGTTAATATTTTTATAATAAGGAACTTCGTTCCTATCCGGTGTCCCACGACAGCACACATCTTTTTTATGTATGCTAGTAACCTTAGCTTCACCGAGCGTGGAGGAGAGCTGACAGGGCTTAGACTGGTGAATTTGCTAACACTAGCTTTAACAAGGGCAGTGCTTCGCTGAATTTATCAATGGATCGGAATCGCTACCCGCTGAGAAAGTTCGGGGTGAAACTCATTGGCTTACGTCTGGGGTTAATTTACAAGACGAATCTTTCATCGCATTCGACGCTACCGCTTATTAACCTCAAAATGTCCCCCAAATGCAGACCCCAGTTAAAGATTACTGGTGGTAGGACCTCTTGTGAGTCCGCACGGGTAGGTACCACCACCGTGCATATTTCTGCCGTGAAGCAGTAATGCGTTTAGGTTTCAAGGGTGCGGCAGCCGTTGTAACTATACTGAGACCTTAGAGCTCATATCTCATGGTGGGTCGTGGCATTTACGTAGTGGATGTCTATGGGCTCCGGTAACCACGTAGCCCTAGGTAGGCTGTGAGTTCGTTAACCCATAATTTTTTTTATTTTTTTGTATTGCTAAAATGGGTGGACAATAGTGGATGGGTGGACATCTATGCAATAAAAAAAAGATCTGTTATGGACCAAGTCATAAGTTTGATTATATTGTCCTTTATTTTCGTTTGCATATCATTTTCCTCCGCGCCGAATTAGTGCCATCTGAAAGATTAGGCTAAACAGCTTCCCCATTCACTTTAAAGCATATGGGCCATTAACCCCTCCGCATGCAAAAAAGACTATACTTGAGACCTTAGAACTTATATCTCAAGGTGGGTGGCGCATTTACGCTGTAGATGTCTATGGGCTCCAGTAACCACTTAACACCAGGTGAGCTGTGAGCTCGTCCACCTATCTAAGCAATAGAAAAAATATATCATAATCTTAATTCTGTTTTAGTAAATTCGTTTCGTCAACAATGTTCTGTGCCGGGACACTGACGACGGGGGAAGGTGCTTGTGACGTGAGTTACTCAGCTCTTAAGCGGTGGGAAGGTTCTAGAAAATCATCTTGAAATAGATGCGAGAGTGGCTTAAAGCTCTCATGCTATAATCATGGATTCTATTTAGGAGCACAGTCGTGATGCTATACAAAATTCGACCTTAAGTTTATGATGTCTTTGACATTCTCGTTCTGGCAAGCTCAATAAAAAAACGTCAAAATTATGAGTAAACTAGCTGTACCCATTTTTTTTATTGTAGGCAGACGGGCATACGGCCCACCTCATGGTGAGTGGTTACCGTCGCCCATGGACTTCAGCAATGCCAGGGGCAGAGCCAAGCCGCTGCCTACCGCTTAATACTCTCCACAAGCCTCGTTTAAAATTAACATTATTATTTCTCACCCCCACAAAGATTCACATCATTAACGCCCCCGCAACTGGTGTAGGGAGTTCAACACTCATATAAATATTAGCCTATCCATTAAGTACATGTATTTTCTACATGGATACCAAGTTTCAAGTCAATCGGATGCACGGTTCAGTAGTTATAACGGAACATCCGCTAAAACCACTGTAGATTTATATATTAGTATGGATTTCAGCATTTATTACATACACTATCAAACAACGTAGAACAAATAGTCTAAATTTGTATATTTGTGCATTTAGAGTGAAGAAGGACTCAAAAATGTACTTTATTCTAACAATATTCATACTGATGGTAGGACCTCTTGTGAGTCCGCGCGGGCAAGTACCACCACCCTGCCTTTTTCTGCCGTGAAGCAGTAATGCGTTTCGGTGTGAATGGCGGGGCAGCCGTTGTAACTATACTGAGACCTTAGAACTGATATCTCAAGGTGGGTGGCGCATTTACGTTGTAGATGTCTGAGCTCCAGTAACCATTTAACACCAGGTGGGCTGTGAGATCGTCCAATCAACTAAGCAATAAAAAAAATAAAAAAATATGTAGAATGATATTTTTTGTGACGATTTCCATGGTATCAAATGTGTATCTTCAAGAGAACAAGTCAATTAACGAAACACAAGATTAAGAGTAAGGCAATAAGGTTTTTAGGTCATGAAAGACTCGGAATCGAGTTTTGTACTCAATCTTCATCTGTGCTATACATTTCAGCACGACGCAGGCGGTCCGGCGATACTCTCCGGTCGTCTCGTGGGCATTATTTCGTTTGGCCCAACAATCTGTGGGTACCCTAATGCTCCTACGGTTTTCACTTTGGTTGGCGCTTACGCTGATTGGATAGAAAACATCAGAAATACAGTGAGTGTATTGTGTCAAATAAGTAACACTAGATGATGACTGAGCTTTACTCGGTTTTTTTTTTATAACGCCATCTTGTTGTGTCTTTAAAGCTAGTATTATTATTCGCCAATAGATGTCGGGAAGAGTCATAGAGTTGATTATCGATAAAGTTGATTATTGAGAACACGAAATTTTCTGAAAATAAATCGTAGCTAGATCGATTTATCGCCCCCGAAATCCCCTGTATACTAAGTTTTATGAAAATCGTTGGAGCCGTTTCCGAGATTCAGATTATATATATTATATATACACGAATTGCTCGTTTAAAGGTATAAGATTGAATCACTGGAACTAAACCAATTAAATCAAAGGTCCACAACCGAAATGATATAGGAGGGTGTATTAGTGTTAGTGAGTTCACCGTCTAGTTGGGACATCTATTAACGACCTTGACTACACCACCACGGGTTGCAGATTTGATACCTGATTCTTCAATTCTAAAAAACTAGGTAATTAAAGTGTGATTATTATTATTTTAATGCATAGATGGGTGGACGAGCTCACGACCCACCTGGTACTATGTGGTTATTAGAGCCCGTAGGCATCAACAACGTTAATGCCGCCACTCATTGAGACATGAGTCCTAGAAGCCAGCTCTATGGTAGAACGGCTGACCTTTAAACAACAACGCATAACTGTTTCGCTCCAGATATTGTCTGGGTGGTTAAACATACCTATATGGATAGTGCGTGCTCACTAGATATTCTTAAACCGGTAGTATCTGGTTGGGTTGGGTGGTCTAATCTGGTTAAGGGGCCACGGTTCGCACCTGCTGGTCACGCAGCGGAACGAACCTATTAAAGCGATTTCCACGCTTGTTGTGCTTGCCGCGAAGTAATCGTTCAGATGAAGTCGTCGTGGCCTAAAGGATAAAATGTCCGGTGCATTCGTATCTTGCGATGCATCGGTGTTCGAATTTGACCACAGACTGTAAGCATTAAGCAATAAGAAAAGTTTGACAATAAACAAATAGTATGCATGCGTGTATGTATGACTTACGGCTCGGAGACGTGGTGCTTCACTAGGGATCTTTTTAGAAGGCTCAAAGTCGCGCAGCGAGCTATGGAGAGGGCTATGCTCGGCATTTCTCTACGTGATCGAATCCAAAATGAGGAGATCCGTAGAAGAACGAAGGTTGCTGACATAGCCCGTAGAATTAGTGAACTGAAGTGGCAATGGGCCGGCCACATAGCACGAAGAGAGGACGGTCGATGGGGCAGAAATATCCTGGAGTGGCGACCACGTACTGGCAAGCGCAGTGTGGGACGGCCACCTACTAGATGGACCGACGACCTAGTAAAAAGCGCTGGGTCTCGTTGGATGCAGGTGGCAATGAACCGGTCGCACTGGAAATCTATTGGAGAGGCCTATGTTCAGCAGTGGACGGCGATAGGCTGAAATGATGATGCATGCGTGTGTGTGTCAAATACATGGTAGTGTGTGTAATGTTTTTTTATTGATTTGATGTATTTTTTATGCATAATTTAACAAAAAAAAATATTAACATTCTGTACTCCTTCTCTATATTCTCTATAAATGTGGGAAATAAGTCTCTATAAGTTTGTTTCACGTACAATATATTTCATTATTATATAATAATGTATACTAGAGGACCCGCAGTAACAATATTTAATTTCAATTTGACAACAGACGTCAAGAACAAAAGTTTGACAATAAATAGTATGCATGCGTGTGTGCGTCAAATACATGGTATGTAGTGTGTGTAATGTTTTCTTTATTGATTTAATGTATCTTTTATGCATTATTTAAAAAAAATATTAGCGTTGTGCACTTCTTCTCTATATTCTCTATAAGTGTGGGAAATTTCATACTCCTCCGTCCGCGCAATTTTCGCAAAAAGGGGTACAAAGTTTTTGCTTCATGTATTAATATATAGATATTTCACAGATGCCCACATACTATACGGGTAAAAGACGCACCACCACCACCACCGTATCACCGCTTCACGATTACTTCGTGACCTGGGGTAGGATGTACAGGTCATCGCAGTATACAACGAATGGAATGAAAGTCATAAATAGTCCCGTCAAGCCGGCGATCAGAGGTGGCGACGACAGCGAAGATGGCGGCTGGAGCATCGAGCACTGATTCGTATAAATATATTATTGATTCAATCAAAAAAGTTATGTTTAATTACCAAAGTAACTATATGAGGCTGTCAGCGCAAAAGTGGCCTAACCCACGATGTTTCATATTCGTGCGTATACTTATATTGCAACGTAATAGGTTGGGGAAAAGTTTCTTCGCATTTCTTAAGAAAATTCGCCTTTTTCCATCTTGCCATCTTGTAGGTAGGTACATGATCCCATTGCTATAGAAATTTTGGAGCTTCTGATCAAAGTACCGCGACAATTGGTTTTATATATATATTTTATTTATTGCTTAGATGGGTGGACGAGGTCACAACCCACCTGGTGTTAAGTGGTTACTGGAGCCCATAGACATCTACAGCGTAAATGCGCCACACACCTTGAGATATAAGTTCTAAGGTCTCAAGTATAGTTACAACGGCTGCCCCGCCCTTCAAACCGAAACGCATATCTGCTTCACGACAGAAATAGACGGGGCGGTGGTACCTACCCGCGCGGACTCACAAGAGCTCCTACCACCAGTAATTACGCAAATTATAATTTTGCGGGTTTGATTTGTATTGCACGATGTTTTAGGAGGCTGTCAATGCAAAAGCTACATAACCCACAATGTTTCATATTCGTGGGTATACTTATATTGCAACATATTTAGGAACATAATAAATTTTGATGCAAAAGCGGCCTATCCCTAATTTCATATATAGAAAACAGATAGCATTGTAAAAATAAATTTCGAGTGTTTTTTTGCCTACGATGCAGTGTAAATGATCCAAACCTCATTATCTCCATGCTAGCTACGGTAAGCTTAGCCAAAATTTGTTCATAAAATATTTATAACTACTGATACCATGCACCCCACGCTTTTTTACAATAAAATCATTTTTCATTACACTATTTTTAATAAAAATTTATTAAAATTTATTCTCTATTTTTTTAGTTGGATTTTCAATAATCGCGCATTTTTTAAATAAAAAATAGTGTATAATTAATAAGATTTTAAATAAATATAGATTAAAATAATAAAATAATTATAATTAAGAAAGCAAGAAAGCAACGGGGCGTATATACGCTCGTGGAAACAAGTTGATATACTCCTTCGATCCGGATATAACCGGTCGAAACCGCGCCTCATTTGACAATTTCAAAAGGATTCTTTCATGTTTCGAGACAGCTGACTGATTTATTTGCACGGTACACTAAGTTTTTTACAGACTATGTTTTTTTGTTATTAGTCAATCTATCATCAGAGTATACGACTCATGCAGTCAGCATCTATGCTTCTATCCATACTCAACATCGAAGTCTTAATCATCTATCTGTAGTATCTAATAACCTTGAGTATGAATTTTATTAGATACGGCTTGGTAAATGTTAAGGCACTGCAATATACTTAGGACATGTAGTTCGAATGGACGAGACTAGATTGCCAAGACAACTGCTCTGCGGCAAGCCAGAGGGCCGCGGAAGTCGTGGCAGACCCAAATTGCGATGGTTAGATTCTGATGGCGTAGAGCACAATCTCAAAGTTATCGGTGTCAGGAACTGGAAGGAGAAAGCCTTGAACAGAGCAGTCTGGAGAGATATACTGGACCAGGCTAAGGTCCGCCCTGGGCTGTAAGGCCTAAGATGATGATGATGATGATGAATATACTTAAATAAATAAAAAATTAACGGCTTAATCTCGCGTTGATTATTTACATTTTTACTATCATTATTTTCACTGCGATATTCAGATGTAGCGTTATTAGGTATGTGTAACATATCGAGACGATTGTAAACAAGAGTTTCAACCGTAAAATTAATTTTAAATGTCTACCATTCGCGAATACCGAAATAAAAATAGGTATACATAATAGACTAGACCAAGATAACTCGTCGAACTCGACAAAGAGTTCGACGTGCAACCTAACCCATGCATCAGCACGCTGAGTTTCTCGCCGGATCTTCTCAACGGGTCGCGATTCCGATCCGGTAGTAGATTCGTTCGCGGAGCAGCACCTCTTGAGTTGTTAGGTCTCCTTCGGAGGCGCTCGGGCAGCTGTTAGCAAATCCCACCTCTTCTGGCTGAGCCTTTGCTCGCCCACCTGTCCTGGTGAAACTGGAAAGGCCTCCGGGCCAGCAGTAACCCTTAAATGTTATAAAAAACAGATATGTATCTATTTATTACAGACCGACTGACTCAAAGGATGTTATTTTTACACAACATTGTAGTTAGTATGTAATTTTTTATCTGTTGAATCTTTCCAACTGAACCGAAAGTACTCTTGCAGGACTCTAAGCTGTTTTAAATATTTAAAACTGCCACTGAAACTCTTAATGCCGACAAGCACCGGCTATAACCGGTTATAACCGGTCATACGATGATACAACAGGTTTTATGGACGGCTCGTAAACAGAGCTAGCTTTAAAATCTGTAACGGGCCGCGAATAAAGCTAGATTTTTTTGCTGGTTTAGCTTACGTTGCGTTTTTATGGATGAAAAGTACTAGTGTGGCTGTTACCCGGATTATCCGGGTTTAGAGAAACTGCTGTCCCACTTTGTTGATAGTTTATGGTGGATTAACCCGGGTCGTTTATTTAACTTAGCTTTTTACCACTTTTACTTTATTTTGTCTCTTATTTTTAAATTAATTATGTAGGTAGTTTAGTTCTGTGACCCACATTCAACCTAAGTCCTTGAATACTCAAGATTTTGATTCATTTCATGTATTTTCTCTTTTGTTTTTAACTATCTTTAAAAATGGAGGAGGATCTCAATTCGACTGGATTTTCTATGTGCGTTACCTTTTTCTTAGTGATCCGATTTTCATTGATTTTTGTTATTTCAAAGCTGGTGGTGAAAGCTCATGTGATTCTATTCGAATATTATGATCACATCAGTCGTTTTTGAGCTATTCTTATTAATGCACTATTTAATTGCCTTGAACAACATTGATGATTTCGCAATTATGTGCTTTCAAATTTTTCAAACCGGATCTCAAAATTGTTTCACTATAGACGTGGGTAAGAATGGTACCTGGATAGGTAGTAAGACCCGGTTTTACAAGCTTACGAGGCGTGTTATTACCAGTGAAGTCGTCGTGGCCTAAAGGATAAGACGTCCGGTGCATTCGTATCGAGCGATGCACTGGTGTTCGAATCTCGCTGGCGGGTACCAATTTTTCTAATGAAATACGTACTCAACAAATGTTCACGATTGACTTCCACGGTGAAGGAATGACATCGTGCAATAAAAATCAAACCCGCAAAATTATAATTTGCGTAATTACTGGTAGTAGGACCTTTTGTGAGTCCGCACGGGTAGGTACCACCGCCCCGCCTATTTCTGCCGTGAAGCAGTAATGCGTTTCGGTTTGAAGGGTGGGGCACCCGTTGTGACTATACTGAGACCTTAGAACTATATCTCAAGGTGTGTGGCGCATTTACGTTGTAGATGTCTATGGGCTCCAGTAACCACTTAACACCAGGTGGGCTGTGAGCTCGTCCACACAACTAAGCAATAAAAAATTAAAAAATAAAAAGTTAACTATGTCTTATTTTTGAAGTGAAACTTCTAATGCGAATTCCAACAAGGATGCGTTAAAAATTTAGTGCTCCTGGGGAGGTGGAATAGAAAGAGACAGAGCAAAAGTGAATTCAGTGAATGGCAATCGAACGCTTGCGCGTAGTATTTGTAACTGTTACAGGCCAACGTGAGCGTTAGCAACGAGTAGCATCCAAAATTTTAATGAAGTATTTAACTGTATTTATTTTTCAATCTATAATTTAAAATATATATAATATAAATGTTGAAGATGTCGCAACTCTTATACACAGCATTCCTTATTACAAGAGCACTCTGATTTAAGGATGAAAAATGAAGAAAGCCACAATACTACACCTCAAAAAAGAAGTTTCACTTCGTTCACGTGCACCAAGTTGCATGCGCACCGTTTTTTTTTCAGTCATTACGTTCTGGACCTGAGTTTGATCTCCTACGAGATTACTGCGTCTAGAGCGCCCTCGGGATATTTCGGGCTCCGTAGCCGATAATATCAAACTCGATTTGCGAACCTGCGGCCACATGTTTGAATGTTAACTGAACCATTACTGGTGGTAGGACCTCTTGTGAGTCCGCGCGGGTGGGTACCACCACCCTGCATTCTGCCGTGAAGCACTAGGTAATGCGTTTCGGTTTGAACGGTGGGGCAGCCGTTGTAACTATACTTGAGACCTTAGAACTTATATCTCAAGGTGGGTGGCGCATCTACGTTGTAGATGTGTACGGGCTCCAGTAACCACTTAACACCAGGTGGGCTGTGAGCTCGTCTACCCATCTAAGCAATAAAAGAAAAAAAATAGACCAGACTCCGAATAGGTGTGTGAAGCTTTTGGCCCATTTGGTCTAGAGTGGCTATTTATATTCTTTTAGTGGCCCATCATAATATTGCCATAATATTTCTTAGTACTGTAATGGGCCTGTCCTATTTCTCAGACGAAAATGCATGCATCAATAACAGAATTAGACGAAACGATACTAGTGACACTTTAGGGTGGGCCGTGAGCTCGTCCACCGATCTAAACAATAAGAAAAAGTACATTGAAACTCCAATTACCAAGCCCTGATAGGCCCTTAAAAACAAGTATATATCATTAAATTGTTTCCGTGCCGCATTCCGTTTTCGCTACGTCTGATAAATTGTAAGCAACTAAGGGAACTACGCCTTAATGAGCAGAGCGCTCTATTCGCGGTCTCGTAGCTGATGTTACTAAGTGAAACAGTTGAATAGTCGGGCCAGATGCTTGTATGAGCAGAAGACTCATTACCGGTAGTGCCATATACTGGGAACCCGCGTTATTTGGTTCACTAAGCTGTTTTAAATGCAAAGTAACAAATAACTGTCCTATAACACGGTATTCTACAACACAGTTCCACATTATTGAGAAGGTCTGCTGGAAGAGATTTCTCAAAGAAATAAGCAGTGCCTTTGTACATAATTTTCCTATTACTCTGTACTG